TTCATTGGTTATAGTGACGCTTCAAAGGCTTATAAACTATACAATCCTGAAACTAAAAAAGTTGTTATAAGTCGTGATGTCACTTTTGATGAATATGGTGCCTGGGATTGGTTAGCTAAAGATGAAAGTTCAGTTGTTATTCCTGCTGTCGAAAATATTGTTGAAGAGCAACCGATTCCAGATAATGTCCAGTCTCCTTCACAGCCAGAGCCGTCAGTTCGACGATCTCAGCGCGAGCGCCACTTACCAGCTCGCTTGCAAGATTATGTTTTGGGTCATGATAATGACCTGTCTGATGAAGAGATTATTCAATTTGCTCTCTTTGCAGATTGTGATCCTTTAACTTTTGAGGAGGCTGCTACAGAAACTCATTGGCTTAAGGCGTTGGATGAGGAGATACGTGCCATTGAAAAGAATGGTACCTTGGAGTTAACAGATTTACCTCCTGGAAAGAAGCCAATTGGAGTCAAGTGGGTTTACAAAACGAAATACAAGTCAGTATATCCAACTTCAAGACAGAGACATTTCTCAAATTGAAGAAGGAAATTGGAATGACCAATACATCCAACTTGGTTTAAAGGAGGCAATGTTATAATAATGTTATTATTAATATTATTAGTAATTAAACCAAGTCAAAGAATTTAATAAAAACAAACATGGGTGAGTCATGTATGTTAATGTGGAACATGCCTAGATAATAGGAGTAGTACATGGAGCATTAGCTTCCTATTTATTAGCTTTCTCTTAGTATAAATATGTGGTGTATTTTCATTTGTTAAATTATCCCAGTGAATAAACATTATTCATTCTAATCTTTCTCTCTCTCTCTCTTCCTATTTATATATTATTATATATAAATACATAGATATATTATATATAATATATATATATATATATTATATTTAATATATCTTACAAAGATTATTACTTCGATAATTAATTATATTGCAAGCTAGATGAAGCCAATTTTAGTTAACTAATGAAAATTGTGAGTAACGATGAATTATATATCTAGGTGTAGAATTTTACTCTCAAAATCTATCTCTAAAATTTTAGGGTTTTGCATCCTCTCCTAGGGTTTGGCTAGGTTTTTCGCATCTCCGATCGGTTCTATCCGGCTCTCTTGCTGGTTTTCGACGCTGGTTCTCTTTGTTTTCGAAGCTTTGCTTGTTTTCTTCTTCGACGAGGCAGTATGGCAGATAACGAACAGGCGTTGCATGTAGCAGACCTTACGCAACGCACGGCAGAGATTGCAATTGATGATGAAGACGTTTGTTTCGCGCTAGTGGTGGAGGAGGGAGATACAGGCGTTTCCGAGCCGCCGGTTCAGACCTGGAGTGTGGTCGGCAGGTTTCTAACAACATGCTTGATTAAGTTGGAGTATATGAGGCAAGTTTTGGCATCCGTTTGGCAGCCAGTGATGGGAGTTACGGTAATGGAAATATATATAAGGGCTTGTTTTTATTTATTTTCTTCCATGAAACGGATGTTGATTATGTTCTGAATGGTGGCCCGTGGGCATTTGAAAACAATACGCTAGATGGAGTGCTACTGGTAGATGTTGAGTTGAACACTGTTGATATGTGGGTGCAGCTTCATGATGTCCCTATGGGTTATACGTCTCTTCCAATTCTTGAGCAGATGGGGAACTTTATTGGAACTTTTGTTAAACATGATGAAAGATTTTTGGGGGCGCCTTGGCTAGCGTTCTACCGGATCCGCGTATCGATCCCGGTGGATAAACCTTTACGAAGACGTATGAAATTGTTGAAACGGGATAAGACTACGTGTTGGGTTAATTTCAAGTATGAACGGTTGCATTCTTTCTATTTCTTTTGTGGGCTTTTGGGACATACATACAAATTCTGTGTCAAAGCCCAGGTCTCTACGGTACCGGTTCATCTTTACCCGTATAGTGCGGAGATGAGGGTTGGGGGAGGCCGTGGACCGAGGGAGGTGGGGGAGAGTTGGCTGGTTCTAGTGGGGGGACTGCCGAGGGTGGCCGAGGGGGTGAGGGATGAGGGAGGCCGTAAGGGCGGTGTGTTGGGGGAGGGCATGTCACGGGTAGGGCCGGTTGTAGTAGATGAGGCCGATGAGGCGGTTGAGGTGGTTTCGAAAAGAAGAAGGGAAGGGCGGTATGAGGGAGAAAGGCGGGGTAACGGGGAGGACATTACCATGGCAGATGTATCAAAAAACTTGTTCATGGCGGGAACTGCGGAGCAGTCCCGCCCATCATTATGAGTACGTTATGCTGGAACTGTCGTGGCTTGGGCAATCCACGAACAGTTCGGGAGGTGGTGGACATGGTGTCTAGTAAGAAACCAGATTTTGTATTTCTGATTGAGACAATGGTAAAAGGTGATCATGCAAAAAGGCTGCGAGTTAAGTTGGGTTTTGAGGGGGTTTTCTTTGCGAACCCGGATCGAAGACGAGGTGGTTTGGCTTTATTGTGGAGGGCTAATAACACTGCTAGGTTAATTAGCTACTCCAAAAAATCATGTGGATATGGAGGTGACGGTGGATGATAGGCCGCCATGGCGTATGACTTGCTACTATGGGTACCCTCAGCGATCTAGAAGGCGTGAATCATGGGCTATGTTGAAGAGATTAGCGTCACAATCCCCGCTGTCATGGGTTGTGATTGGTGATTTCAATGACTTGCTTTTCCAGTCTGAGAAGCGTGGGCGTGTCCCACATCCGGAGAGCTTATTGCGTGGTTTTGGGGAGACGTTGGATTCATGTTGTAACACCCCGAAATTTTAAAACTTTTAAAGACTATATAACAAAGGTAAATGATCATAAATCCCAAAACGTTTATAAGAATACGGGGTGCTATGCCACACCTGAGCTAGAGAACTCAGGTGCACAGGCTAACTAACTACTATCCTCAATAATGCAAATACATAATCATGGCACGCAGGCCGAAAGGGAAACCAACTACTTCTACGCTTCAAGGTTCTAGCGCGCTCCAGTGTCTACTCTTCTGTGCCTGAAAGCCAAATATATCTGTTCAGCGAGAGATGCTGGTAACCCACTCCAACGCGTTGAAATACAATACATATAGATATATACATAGATATCTGAAAACCATTTCGAAGCATGAAGATATATCCTAAGAGACTCTAGCTTTCAAAACAGGGGATAAACTCGACAGATAGGGATGAGCACAGTCAACAGTTATATCAAGCATATACAATTTTCCAGCATAGAGAACAGACACGATAGATAGAGACAAGAACATAACCAAGCATATACAATTGCTAGCATAAATCCTATAGTCACGTTCTCAAAACACACATAACAACATCTTATCCATATCTCATCACATAAGCACACTTTGTTGGCACCACAGGACCAATCGCATGCCCATACATGAGGGTCAGCGCATATAGCTCTAACACGGCCCCGCAGCACCCTGCCCCGTATCGCAACACGGAGGGGTCGATCGCAACCGACCGATGAACCGCAGCTCATCATAGTGTTTGATCGCAACCAAACAATGGACCGCAGCCCAAGAGTGTGTCATCTGACCGCAGCCAGGAAATATGAACCGCAGCTCATGTAGAAACGTTTGATCGCAACCAAACGGTGGACTGCAGCCCAAGAGTGTAAATCTGACCGCAGCCAGCTTCTGAACCGCATCTCAGGAATAACCAATCCGATCGCAACCGGATTGGGGTATCATGCACACATAACACATAGCAAGCACATGCAACCCACATTAACACATTGGGAAGGGGGAGAAAACGTATAACAAAACCTATGCGTGATCCTTCACATACTAAGAATAATCCTAAGGGGTTCATACTTCTTTCACCTAGGTCAACGGGATACCAATTCAACTAGCATGCAATATATAAGACTCATACAACCTACGAACGGTACCCGAAATATCAAACTAGACATAGGCACGATAGACGGAGTCCGTTGGGACGCCACGGGGATCGGGGGAACATCAAACGGGGAAGTCGGAATCCCGAATTGGGATATTTTCCAGCGGGTAGCCGGTGGGTGAGGGTTCACCCGCCGGCTGCCCGCCGGTGGCGTAATTCCGGGCAGCGGGTGCCCGGCGGGCAGCTGCCCGCTGCCGGTGTTGCCCATGTTGGCCGCGGGTAGGTGGCGGGTCCCCTACCCCCCACTAACTCTTTTTCACCAAAAACGCCCCGGGAACCTTTGTGGAACCCGAAAGCATGCTTAGACACTTTCAAACGCAATTGACAACGATACGTAGACAATTAATGGATTCAAAAGCAAGAACATACGGCATATAACCTATCATGCTTTTCTAAACATAATCAACACCCAAACATACGAATTCCCACCCAATATACCAAGAACAATACCATACGAGTTCCACGATACAACCTAGGGTTCTAATTACTTTTAAATCAACAAGAACACAATTCATCTTCTAATATCAAGATTCGGTAGGAATATCACATAAACATCAAGAACATCATATAATCATCAAGAACATCAAGAACACCATATAATCACTAAGAACCTCTTAATACCATCAAGATCATCAAGATCACCCATGGAATCATAACACCAATTACCAAGATCAATATAATGAATCATCAACACACAAGAATATGGGGGAAATCCTAAGGGGGGGAACCATAGCTATGAAAATAGGTTTTGTTGAGACATGGGTTAGCTCTTAGCCTTAATTAATTCCTTGGCTATGAAGGGTCTTTCTTTAAGCTTTCTTCTTTCTTGATTTCTCCTAGGGGAATTCTTGGAACTTCTTGTGTGGTGAGGGATTATTGTGATGGGGGGTTCTAGGTGCCTCTTAAGTCCCCTATTTATACATCTAGAGTCCTAATTAGGAACTAATATTATAGGCTTGCTAATTCTATTCCTTTTAGGGCTAGGGTTGGGTTTTAGGGGTGAGGGCCCACGGACCATGGTGGGCTTTTTTCCCTAATTAATTATTATACTTTAACTCTTTCTTTTGGGTGATTGGTTGATAATTAATTGGTTTTAGGGGTCGTAACATGGGGTGTTACACATATGGATTGATACAGCTGCCTATGGAGGGATATCCATACACTTTAGAGAGGAGGGAAGGTACGGAGGACTGGGTTGAGGAGAGATTGGACAGAGTGGTAGCGACAATGGAGTGGCGCGAGTTGTTAGTGGAAGCTAAGTCTGTTAATATCCTTACACGTAAGTTGGATCATTCTGCCATTTTTCTCAGTATCTCTAACCCATCTGACTGTAGGGTGAATGGCCGACATACTTTCCGTTTTGAAATGGCTTGGCTGCTCGATTCGGGTTGCCGAGGGGTAGTGGAGCGGGCGTGGGATGATGCTCAAGGGGAGGGGTTGATGGGTACTTTACATTTATGCAAAGAGCGGTTGCAGGCTTGGGGAGGTGACCGTTTCCATATGTTTGGGAAACAGATAAAACGGTTACATGGCAAGTTAATGAAGCTAAAAGGGAGTAGGGGACACATGGCTTTGGAGGAGTATAATACAGTCCGAGCAGAACTGGCTAGACTGGAGACACAAGAGGATATATATTGGCGTCAGAGGGCCAAGCAGCATTGGTTACGAGGGGCGGATGCCAATACCAAGTTCTATCATAGGTATGCCTCTTCTCGTAAATGTAAAAATACCCTGTCTAAGCTTAAAGGGGTGGATGGTGGTTGGGTGTCTAAGGGTACAATGAATACTGTTATTATTGATTACTTTACTGAAATCTTTAAATCATCAAATTCCCCACCCCATAGTGATTTCTTTGGTACGATACTCCCTCGTGTGACTGAGTTGCAAAATGAATCTTTATTAAAGCCCTTTGTGGCAGAGAGGTGAAGGAAGCTTTGTTTGCTATGTTCCCGGATAAGGCTCCTGGGCCGGATGGGATGAACCTCGGGTTCTATCAGCACTTCTGGGGTGTTGTAGGGCCTGAAGTGACTGATTTTGTGCTTAACTGTTTAAATGGGGGTGTGTTCCAAGAAGGGTTAAATGAATCAAATGTTGTCTTAATCCCGAAGAAAAAGGTCCCTGAGTATCCAAGGATCTGAGGCCAATTGCTTTAAGTAATGTGGTTTACAAAATTATGGCCAAGATGATTGCAAATAGGATGAAGCCTTTTATGGATTCTGTTATATCAGATTCACAAAGTGCTTTCATTCCGGATAGATTGATAACTGATAATATCGTAATTGCTGCTGAGGTGGGACATTACCTGAATAGAAAATAGTGTGGTAAAGTTGGTTGGGGGGCGTTAAAATTGGATATGGCGAAAGCCTATGATAAAATGGAATGGGTTTTTCTGAGACAGATGTTGATAGCCCTGAGTTTTGCGGAACAGTGGGTGAATTTGATTATGATGTGTGTTACGACTGTTTCGTATAATATCCTTATTAATGGTACTGTTGGAGGAGTAGTGGTACTAACAAGGGGTCTCAGACAGGGCGACCCCCTATCCCCTTATCTCTTTATCATTTGTGCAGAGGGCCTGTCTTTAATGTTGCAGCAGACTCAGGCTTTGGGAGTGATTCATGGTTGTAGAGTAGCACGTGGTGCCCCGCCTGTTTCACATTTGTTTTTCACGGATGATAGCCTCTTATTCTTTAAAGCAAATGTGCAGGAAGCAAGTGCAGTTAAACAGTGTTTGGTGCATTATGAAAAACTGTCTGGTCAGTCTATTAATTTTCATAAATCCAATATTTGTTTCAGTAAGAATACAGGTGAGGAGGAACGGGAGGAGGTAAGTGCGCTGTTGGGGGTGGCACATGCAGAGAACTTTGGGAAGTATTTGGGATTACCCTCTTTTGTTGGACGGAATAAGAGACAAGTATTTGCATATATAGAGGAAAAAATCCAACAACGGATAGGCTCCTGGAATAAGAAGTTGCTGTCCCAAGCAGGAAAAGAGATACTATTGAAAACGGTAGCTCAGTCTATGCCTACTTTTTCAATGAGTATTTTTTTATTAACTGATTCCCTCTGTATGGCAATACAGAGAACTATGAACAGATATTATTGGAATAAGGGTGGTGCAGGTGGAATACGTTGGATGGCTTGGGATCGTCTCAGTAAACCAAAAATAGCTGGGTGGCTGGGCTTTAAGGATCTGAGAGCTTTTAATCTTGCAATGTTGGGTAAGCAAGGTTGGCGTTTTCTTACGAGGCCAGAGTCATTGGTTGCAAGAATATACAAGGCTAGGTATTTCCCTAAAACTGATTTTAAAAATGCTGCCATAGGAAGTAATCCTAGCTACTGCTGGAGGAGTATAATGGCTGCACATAGTCTTGTATGCGGGGGAGTGAGGAGGAGGATTCGGAATGGGAGGAATACTATTATTGGAGGGGATCCTTGGCTTCTAGATTTGGATTATATGACACACACTAATTTACCGCCTGGTATTTATGAATCAAAGGTGTCAGGTTTGATGGATCAGGATACTCATACTTGGGATCTGGATATTCTACATGATATTTTTGACCTGCAGGATTTGAACCGAATCCGTAGGGTGCCAATCTGTCCGGATTTTGAGGATTCTTGGTACTGGTATAAGGAGCATAATGGATTGTATTCTGTTAAGAGTGCATATCGTCAGATTGTTGGGGAGATACAGAATAATACGACTTTTGAAAAATGGCCAGCTTTATGGAAGTTGGATGTGCCCCCCAGGTGGAAAACGTTCCTTTGGAGAGCGTTGAGTGGTGTGTTGCCAACCACAACAGCACTTGTTAGTAGGAGGGTTGATGTAGATCTTGCTTGCCCCATGTGTCTTGACTATATTGAGGTTATGCATTATCTGATTGAATGTCAATATGCATGCCATGTCTGGAATGAGTCTAGTCTTGTTATTTCTTCTGTGCATGGTGGATCTTTTGTTGAATGGTTTCAGAATGCGATGATTGTGTTAACCATGGATGTTCTTGTTCAAGTTGTTGCAGTCCTGTACCATATATGGAATGCTCGAAACTCTGCGGTATGAGAGGCTTATATGAAGATGCCCAAGCAAATGTGTTTGGCAGCCGAAGCAGCCCTCTTGGCGTGGAGGCAGTCACGCCCAACAGCACTGTCTCGGCAGCAGCAACAACATCCAGCGCCCTCTGGTTTGCAATGCTACGTAGACGCAGCGTGGTCCCCAACGACTTGGGCTGCGGCATTCGGGGCGGTCCTCCTCGACGATCAAGGTGGCTTTGTGGCAGCTTTGAATGGACGACTACCGTTGTGTGAGAATGCTATAACGGCAGAAGCACTGGCTTGTAAGGAGGCATTATCTTGGTTAAAGGACCGGCAGATCACTTCGGTAACTCTTTCCATGGATTGTTCGGTGTTGAAGTCCTATCTATCCAAAGTAGATTTGCATCCAAGATCGTATGTTAGTATTATTGTTTGTGAGTGTCAGGCCATCATGGCTCAGTTTACTTCATGTTATTTACAGCTTATTCCTAGACGTTTAAATATCGTTGCTCATACTTTAGCATCTAGGGTCACTGACCAGGAAAGTACTATGTTATGGGATGGTGACCCCCCTGATTTCATTGTTGCGCATATTCATTAATAATATTCGAGTTTACAGCTTTCTAAAAATCTATACTATATATATAAACAAAATCCTCAATTTTAACTTTCCACCCAAATGACTCCTATACTATTAAGGTTTGTGTAATCTATAAAATTAATAAGAGCCAATAATGTTAGCTACTAAAGTAGCTTGTTTTGGTTTCCCCTTAATTTTGAGCCAATTAAGGTTGGATTTAGCATATTATTAACTCATAAATTAATATTTTTTGTATGTATTTTTATTATCGTACAATTGTACATTACTTTACAAATATTATACTAATATTTTTTTATCTGACACAATTGTTCTTATATCATTGTCTGACCAGTGCGACCAAAATTTTATAAATGCATGAAAACTTCTAAAGAAAGTTTCAAGTTAATTTTTACTATATCATTATAACAATATTTATTGTAACCATATATTTTGAATTATTCATTATCATCCTCTATTGATAGCAATTGTATCAATTGTCATGGACAAACTCTCAAAACAATTTGTCTCAACAATGAATGAAAATTAAAAGAAAAAAAAAAAGTGATTTCATTATTGTGGACGAAAAATATGTATGCCTTATTACTCTTATTAAATTAAATTAAATAAATTAGTAACTACAACAAAAAATAATTATTTTTAGTCGATTTAGTCACTCAGGCCGTCTTCCGTCGACAGCCGGAGGGACTAAATCGACAAAAAATAATTGTTTTCAGGGACCAATTCGATGAATAAGCAATTGAGGGACAACATTGACAGTTCGCTAATAATTGAGGAACCAAATCGTTGATTAACTCTTATTATTATTAAATTAATAAATTATTATTATTATTAGGGAATGTAAATAAATGTGTACAAATTTAATAAGATTATTAGAAAAACATAAATAATTAATAAAGATTATTAAATCAAACATTATAAAATAAATTATAAAATTGCACTCATCAAATCTTGTTAAACTGAAAGAGATCTACGACATCTCATTTACCCTTCTTAGTAATTTGTTTTAAAAATAAATATAGCATCATGTCTTACTTTAATTTCCTAACAGTTTTTGAATTACCACATTTGGGCCATCGTGCAATAAAATATGCTATTTATTTTTACACTGGTCAAATGTTACGGGAATCTTAAACAAGCTACTTTAGTCAGATTTTACTTCCTCCCCAATAAAGTTGACCAACCATAAAATCCTTCTTGAAATAACATTCTTCTTTCTTTAAATAAAAATCTTCAATTACTTTGATTATCTCCGTAGTCCCGCACAAGCTTAACTCAATAATTCAGTAGGCCGTATTTGAGAGAAGAGACCAAAGTTTGAACCTTAGCGACCACGATCCCTTGTGCGCATCGACATTTGGCCATGCCTGCTGAGCCATTAAGTCACTGCGATTTATGTCCTGCCAAATGATAATGGCCTTGTTTGATTATTGACAAATTCGTCAAAATTCCTATCAAATTTGCCATTTTAACATTTTCTTTTTAATCAAAATACCAAAAATATTATTTAATAACTCAGCGATTTGCTCCAAACTGCTAAAAACTAAAATAAAACATATACATTTTGGGTTAATATTTCCAAACACCCCCTTGTGCGCACTAACATTTGTCCCCTGTCTGCTAAGCCATTAAGTCGCTACGATTTATGTCATCTCAAATGCTCTGTCAGTTGCATCGAAATGTGAGGGGCCCATGTAATTGGAAATTTAACTTTTTGAGAGAAGATTATTACTACAATTATTAATTGCTAAGTAGATGAAGCCAATTTTAGTTAACTAATGAAAATTGTGAGTAACGATGAACTATATATAGGGGCACCAATATGTTGAGCAATAGCTTATAAAAAAAGTTTTTTTTTTTTTTAATGTTACTAATTCTATTACATTGTAGTGCACAAAGAATCAACAACGTCTCTAATGAGATTCGATCTCATAACCTCCCATATAAGAGAGTCACTACATGTCATCTGAGCATAAAATGTTTGACGCTTATAAAGAAGTTTAATGCACTAAACATTATTAATTACAAGATCAGAGATTTAATATGTTCACACAAGAAAATATATAACATGGACTCTTAATGAGTTCCCTTATTTATTCGGGCATGATCTCATCTTCTTCATTTTGGCCTCAAACTTAGATACGTTCACATAGGATGATATCAAAAACACACAAATTACAAAATTCCCTAGTATACAAATACATTTTGACCAATCATCTATTAGTCGATGCACTAACAAGATCTCTTTTTGACTTTTTTGGCAAAATTTGAACTCAAAACAATTTATTAAAGAAAAATAATCAAAGAATCATATAGCTAGAGAATTTAAAGCATAATCAAAGGCATGGTTGCAATAGGCGCTAGGCGCTAGTTGGGCGGTAGAGTAGCGCTTAGCGCCTAGACGGCCTAGGCGGTCGCCTAGGCGGCTAACTGAAAAAATGAAAAGTAGTGCACGTGTGTAGGTGCATATACACACACACACACACACACACACACACACACACACACACACACACACACACACACACATATATATATATATATATATATATATATATATGAAAAAAATTAGCAAGGTCAAGCCGATATATATATATATATATATATGAAAAAAATTAGCAAGGTCAAGCCGGCCGGGTTAAGTCGGCTAACTCGACAGAAATTGACGAGTAAACTCGGCGTAATTGGCCGAGTTAGGCGCTAGGCGGGTGCCTAAGCGGCCGGTCTCCTAGGCGGGAGCCTAGGGGGAAAATCGCCACAGCCTAGGGGTGCCTGGCGCCTAGGCGCCGATTACTCGGTGCCTAGGCAGGATTTTTGCAACCCATTCAAAGGTACCTTCATACTTAATTTCTTCTTTTTGGTTCTCCTTGCTAACCTTTGACCTCTCACCATTGCTTCATAATTAGCTTCATTGTTTGCTTCAAAGCTAAGAGGATAATAAGCTAAGCCTTGAACCCTTCATGAGACGTCAAGATTATCGACTATACCTCCTTCATAGTGTCTCACACTTGTAACTTCATCAATTCAATATACATTTCCCACCATCCTAAAAAATTTCCATTAAGAACTCAGGACATCCGAGCTGTGCACTCTACAATGAAGTCAGCTAGTGCTTGAACTTTGATGATAGGTTTTGGCGTATACTCTATGGCATAATAATGACTTAATTAAAAACAACAAAAACTTCATTACCTTCCCGAAGCCATTGAGTTCCTTAATTAAGACTAGTGCTAGTGGTTGAACTGTTAGGACATTCACTTAGCTTTGTTCTAACTGTATGCACTAATTCATAAAATGTATTTTCAAGCATAGTACATTTTGATTCAACAGGCAATTAAGACCTTGAGGATATTGAGGATCCTCTCTAGCTTTGTAGCAATGAGAACGCCAATGCAATTCTCGTCAGTCCGCCGCTCACAGGTAGCGGTAATTACGGTTCCGGTCGCTCCTTCGACAACTTTCTCCGGTGACTTTCGACTCCTTTGCTTTCAGCGACGAACGGCAACGGCTTTGACAGCACCTTCGCAACGCTTCTTCGTAACAAGGGGCCGTGCGACGGTTCGTTCGTAAAGTAGCGGCGATGGCAGGGCGTACGGCGGTGGCAGGGCTCACGGCTAGATGGGCCGATCTGGCTTTGGAGGAGGAGGAGGAGGAAGCGTTCGTGCCACGAGTGGAGGAGGAGGGTGACGGGCAGGATGCTGGCGTGGAGGAGGAATCATGGGGGGTGGTAGGCCGTTTCTTGACAAGGAAGCTTGTTAAACTTGAGTTTATGAGTAAGGTAATGGCATACGTCTGGCAACCGGTAAGTGGAGTCCAGGCTTCATTTTTCATCACATAACGGATGTGCAACGAGTCCTTGATTAGGGGCCATTATCTTATCATAATAGCACGTTTGTCTGTAAGCAAGTTCCTGATGGTGTTCTGCCTGCGAATGTTAAGCTGGACACGTTTGATATGTCGGTACAGATCTATGAGTTGCCCACAGGGAATACGACTGAGTTGATCCAGGAACAGATTGGAAATTATCTGGGAGTGTTTGTGAAAAGGGATGACTGTTTTCAGAATATGTCATGGAAAACGTTTTACCGAATTAGGGTTTCGTTATCGGTTGATAGACCATTGAAACGCCGAATGAAGTTTATAAAGCGGGATAAAACAAGTTGTTGGCTATATTTCAAGTATGAGCGACTACATACATATTGTTTTTTTTTTTGTGGAATGCTTGGCCATGCCTACAAGTTTTGTCGTTGTGCGAGGGATTTGGTGGTGCCAGTAGAGGACTACCCATATGGACCGGAGTTACGGGCAGGAGGGAACCGGGGACCGAGGCTGGTCGGCGGCAGTTGGCTTCTACCGCCGCCAACAGCGGCGCGGGGTACTATTTCGGGAGAGGGGAGATCAGGGGCGGGGCAGCAAGGGGTCGAAGGGGTTTTGGCGGGTAGGGATTCCGAGGAGGAATCTGTTGTGGTTGCCGTGTCCAAGCGCCGGCGTGAGGTCTCAGGAGGTGGGAGTGCGAGACAAGGATTGGATGGGAGTGATGTTGTAATGGCAGATTTTTCAAAAAACTTGCAGCAGGCGGGCACTGGTTCCCAAGCCCGCCCGACCCAATGAGTACCCTAAGTTGGAACTGCCATGGCTTAGGCAATTCACGGACAGTTCGAGAAGTTGTGGACATGGTGTCCAGTAAGAAGCCGGATTTTGTGTACTTAATGGAAACTATGGTTGGATGGGAGCATGCAGAACGCCTCCGTATCAAGCTAGGTTTCGAAGGATTATTCTATGTGGACAACGAGGGGAATGGTGGCGGCTTAGCGTTGCTTTGGAGGAAAAATAATATTGCTACCCTCATGAGTTACTCTAAAAATCATGTGGATGTGGAAGTTCTATTGGGCAGTGATACGGTTTGGTGAATGACGTATTTTTATGGTTTTCCAGAGCAAAATAGAAGAAGGAAATCGTGGGAGCTATTGGGAACGCTAGGTGGGAGATCCCCACTACCTTGGGTTGTAATAGGGGATTTCAATGATCTCCTATATCAGCACGAGAAGAGGGGGGGAAACCCGCACCCAAGTAGTCTCCTTCGCGATTTCGGGGAGGCGGTGGATGGGTGTGGATTGGCACAGATAGCTATGAGGGGCCATCAGTTTACCTAGGAGAAGAGTAAAGGCATAAGCAATTGGATTGAGGAACGATTGGATAAGGTTTTGACAACGACATCGTGGGGGGTGTCAATCACCATGCAGTTGTACAGAATATTCTGACTCGTACATCGAACCACTCGGCTCTATTCCTTAGGATTAATGCGCCATGCATGCAAAGGGGAAGGGGCCCGAGAGGTTTCAAGTTTGAGATGGCCTGGTTGCTGGATGAGGGCTGTAGGGAGGTGGTTGAGACTGCTTGGCAGGACCGACGGACTGAGGGTTTGCTGAATTGTTAGCAATATTGTGAACACAGTCTGATGTGGTGGGGTGGTGATCATTTTCAGAAATTTGGAGAGCGTATTAAGAAGCTGCGTATGAAACAGGATGCCATTAGGCACAGGGGCAATCCGGATGCGATAGTTGAATTTCAAAATCTCGAGATTCAGTTGTCCCAGCTGGAAGCCCAAGAGGATATTTTTTGGAGGCAGCGAGCAAAGCAACAGTGGCTACGTAGAGCTGATGCTAACACAAAGTTTTATCACAGGTATGCCTCTACCCGCAAGAAAAAGAATTTTATTGCCAAATTAAAGAATGATGAAAAGGACTGGGTGGAGGGGGAGAATATGAACTCGGTTATTTTGAAATATTATGAAGGGATTTTTGCCTCTAGTAATTCTGTATGCAGTGATCCTTTGTTTGATGATTTTTCCCCACGTGTTACCCTGGCCCGTAATACTACCCTGTTGCGCCCTTTTGATATTGATGAGGTTAAAACGGTTGTATTTTCTATGTTCCCTGATAAAGCTCTGGGGCCGGATGGTATGAATCCCGGTTTCTATCAGCATTTTTGGGATGTAGTTAGGGAGGATGTGTCTATGTTGATTGTAAACACTCTCAACTCGCGTGTTCTCCCCGCATGGTTTAAATGATACCAATGTAGTTTTGATCCCAAAGAAAAATGTGCCTGAGACAGTAGGGGATATGCGACCGATTGCTCTGAGTAATGTGCTCTATAGAATTATGGCTAAGATGACAACCAACCGGATGAAACCACTTATTGGAAATCTAATCTCGGAGTCCCATAGTGCTTTTATTCCAGGAATATTAATTATAGATAATATTCTGGTGGCCTCGGAGGTTGGTCACTTTTTAAATAGAAAGCAATGCGGTAAAGTGGGGTGGGGAGCTTTGAAATTGGATATGGCAAAGGCGTATGATATGATGGAATGGCCGTTCTTGAAAAGAATGTTGGAAGTAATGGGATTCGGTAAGGGATGGATTGATCTGATTATGGTATGTGTGACAACTGTGACATATAATATTGTGGTAAATGGTGTGCCTAGAGGACAAATAATTCCAACTCGGGGACTCAGACAGGGTGACCCCTCTCTCCCTATTTATTCATTATTTGTGCAGAGGGATTATCTTTGCTGTTACAAAAAGCTCAGTTAGCAGGGTCAATACATGGATGTAGAGTAGCTAGAGGAGCCCCCAGTGTCACATCTTTTCATTGCAGATGATAGTGTATTGTTTTTTAAAGTAAATTTGCACGAGGCCAGTGTGATTAAAAAGTGTCTGATGAGGTATGAGAACCTATCTGGTCAAATGGTCAATTATCATAAATCTAATATTTGTTTCAGCAGGAATACCACGGGGGAGGATAGAGATGTGGTGGAAAATTGTTTAGGGGTGGATCAGGCACCCAATTTTGGTAAATACCTTGGCCTGCGATCTTTCATTGGGAGAAATAAAAGGGCAGTTTTTTCCTATGTGGAGGATAAAATCAAATAGAGAATTGGGTCGTGGAACAAAAAACTGTTGTCTCAAGCTGGGAAGGAGGTACTTTTGAAAAGTGTGGCCCAATCTATGCCTACATTTTCAATGAGTATTTTTTTGCTGCCTGAATCAGTTTGTTTATCTATTGAGAGGACAATAAACAAATACTGGTGAGGGAAAGGGGTAGAGAGAGGAATCCATTAGAAGGCCTGGGACAAATTGTGTGTTCTTAAAAAATATGGGGGTTTGGGTTTTAAGGATCTTCATTCCTTTAACCTCGCTATGTTGGGAAAACAGGCATGGAGATTTCTTTCTAATCCAACCTCTCTTGCAGCTAGGATATATAAGGCTCGTTACTACCCGGCAACCTCTTTTATTGATGCTAGAATGGGAAATTGTCCGAGTTACTGTTGGCGGAGTATAATGGCTGCACATGATATGGCTTGCTCTGGGGTACGGAGAAGAATTGGAAATGGGGAAACAAATTTGATCTGGGGCAACCCTGGTTACCTGATGATCCTAGCCCTTTAGTACAGACAATGATGCCTGAGGAACTACGTGAGGCTAAGGTGGTGGGTTTGATTGACCAGCAAACAAACTCGTGGGATCCCCATATTTTGAATGATTTGTTTGAACCTGAGGATGTGGTTCGTATATCTAGGATCCCTATTAGCCCGGATTATGATGACTCATGGTATTGGTATAGGGAACAAAGGGGAATGTATTCTGTTAAGAGTGCATATAGACAGATTGTTGGAGATTTTGAGCATAATCCTAGTGCCTTAGATAAATGGATTACATTATGGAAATTGAAGGTCCCCTCGAAATGGAAGACTTTTTTGTGGAGAGCTTTATGTGATATCCTCCCTACAACAAACAACCTGATTATAAAGAGAGTGGAAGTAGATCCAACATGCCCTATGTGTGGTTTATCTCATGAAGATGTTATGCACACACTTATTTCTTGTGACTATTCTAAATTAGTGTGGAATATTTCAGGTTTGCCTGTTACAAATATTGTTGCTACTTCTTTCCCAGTATGGCTAATGGGTGCTATGGCAAACTTAACAGAGGAGCAGCTTGGCTTGACGGTTGCGGTCCTTTACCACCTATGGAGCGCCCGAAACGATGCCGTATGGAGAAGGGCCTGCCACGCCCAACCGCCGCATGGAGGAACTCCGCTGCCACCATGGCAGCCTATGCCGAGGCACACTGCCGGGGCGGGAACCGCGTCGCACAACCGGCTGCACCACTGCAGCAAGGCCGGCCACGCTGCTACTTCAATGGGGGATACCGCCCGCACTCGGGCGACGCAACCTACGGTGTTGTACTTTTACATCCGGATGGCTCTTTCAAAGCGACAAAAAATGGTAAACTTTCGGGTTGTTTCTCACCCCTTATGGCATAGGCTCTTTTATGTAAGGAAGCATTATCATGGCTCAAGGAGCGCAACGAATTGGACGTGGATCTATTGACTGATTGCTCAGAACTCCGACACCATTTACTATCCAGTCCTACGACCATCCTATCTTAAGTAGGGGCGGTGGAGGACCAATGCCGGACAACTATAGCCCTTTTTTTCATATTGCTCTTTGAATGTTATTTCTAAATTAGTTAATGTTAATGCTCATACTTTAGCTACGGTACCTTTTGATCAGGATCACTCTATGTACTTGGACTATGTTCCCCTGACTATTTGGCTTCTCTCATTAATTAATATATGCCATTGCCCTTTGGCTTTCAAAAAAAAAATATAGGGGCACCAATATGTTGAGCAATAGCTTATAAAAAAGTTTTTTTTTTTTAATGTTACTAATTCTATTACATTGTAGTGCACAAAGAATCAACAACGTCTCCAATGAGGTTCGATCTCATAACCTCCCATATAAGAGAGTCAATGTCATCTAAGCCTAAAGTGCTTGATGCTTATAAAGAAGTTTAATGCACTAAACATTATTAATTACAAGATTAGAGATTTAATATGTTCACACAATAAAATATATAACATGGACTCTTAATGAGTTCCCTTATTTATACGGGCATGATCTCCTCTTCTTGATTTTGGCATCAAACTTAGATACGTTCACATAGGAGGATATCAAAAACACACAAATTACAAAATTCCCTAGTATACAAATACATTTTGACCAATCATCTATTAGTCGATGAACTAACAAGATCTCTTTTTGACTTTTTTGGCAAAATTTGAACTCAAACAATTTATTAAAGAAAAATAATCAAAGAATCATATAGCTAGAGAATTCAAAGCATAATCAAAGGTACCTTCATACTTAATTTCTTCTTTTTGGTTCTCCTTGCTAACCTTAGACCTCTCACTATTGCTTCATACTTAGCTTCATTGTTTGCTTCAAAGTTAAGAGGATAATAAGCTAAGCCTTGAACCCTTCATGAAATATCAAGATTATCAACTATACCTCCTTCATAGTGTCTCACACTTGTAACTTCATCAATTCAATATACATTTCCCACCATCCTAAAAAATTTCCATTAAGAACTCAGGACATCCGAGATGTGCACTCTACAATGAAGTCAGCTAGAGCTTGAACTTTGATGATAGGTTTTGGCGTATACTCTATGGCATAATAATGACTTAATTAAAAATAACGATAACTTCATTACCTTCCCGAAGCCATTGAGTTCCTTAATTAAGACTAGTGCTAGTGGTTGAACTGTTAGGACATTCACTTAGCTTCGTTCTACCTTAGTAGGGCAATGAGAACGCCAATGCAATTCTCGTCAGTCCGCTGCTCACAAGTAGCGGTATATATATGCGCACTACAAAAAAACACAAAAATAACGACGGAAAAATCCGTCGCTAGAAGGGGAAAAATCGGTCGCTAAAGTGATTAGCGACGGATTAACGACGGAATTTGTCCGTTGCAAAAAGTGGCGTCGCTAGAATTTAGCAACGCAATTTTTTTCCGTTGCTAAGTTTAGTGACGGAATATTCCGTCGCTAAACTTAAATATATCCATCGCTAATTTCCTCTCCACGACGATTTATTGACAAAAATTGCAAGGAAATAACGACGAAAAATTCCGTCGCTAAATTTAGCAACAGATATTCCGTCGCTAAATTTAGCGACAGATATTCCGTCGTTATTTTGTTTCTATAAGTGCCATTTAGCTACAATTTAGAGATGAAATATCTGTCGCGAAATTTAACTACGAAAATTTCCGTCGTTAGTTCGTTCTCATTCTTTATTTGTTAGAATGTATTTAGCTACAAATTTACTACGATTTTTGTCCGTAGCTAAATTTTTAAAATTTCCAAAAAAAATAAAATCTACCAATTAATTAATACCACATACATGTATTAAACAATAGGTTCAAAGCTAAATTAGTATCATTCAGAAGCCTCTTTTTTTCATATACATACTTGAACTGTCAATACAACAATTATTACATATCTAAACTAAGATGTGTGCTGCCTATTTCCCATACGGTTTCTCAATAAATCATGCCAAGTATATTTGAGTAAAAGCACAATTTTTTTGTCTTGCAACAAGAAACAAAAAAAAAAAAGTGAATAACATCGCCAACTAACATGATCAAGCAATAACACGTCGTTGTCTTCTTCAAGGCGAGAGAAGGCTATTGCACGTTGACCAATTACAAGCTCTAGAAGCATGATTCCATAGCCAAAAACATCCATCTTTTCTAATGATTTCCCGGTAGACAAGTATTCAGGAGCAATATGGCCCATTGTGCTGCGTACTTGAGTAGTAACATTGTTTTTTCTAACATCTGCATTAAGGTCACTGATTCTATTGCAAATTAAAAACATGAGTATTAATTACATCGTCAAAGGAAATCTTAACTCACTGTCAAGCTTGTTGGTACAAAAATATTTTCTGGTATGGGCCCTGCAAAACCACTTGCTTGAAGCTCTCTGCCAATCATGCTTGTTAATACAAAACAATTTCAAACTTTGAAAAAGAAGATGTAGTATATATATATATATATATATATATATATATATATATATATATATATGTTCAGACTTTATTAAAGATATTAAGAAGACTTTGAATCACCCATTCATGGTCAGAGTACTCAGCTTATAGTTCAAGATACTATGATAATTCCAGTTTAAATCTTATATTAAGCACATTTGAGCACAAATAAGCGTAAGACCTTCTCTTCTTAACCTCCCAAAAACTAAAATAAGATGAGTCAATATATTGAATTGAAACAAACTAATTAGAATTAATATATTAAATTTGGAGAAATTTTTAAACAATTCTGTGAATTTCGACAGTGTATATGTTAGAAGTTGCATCAAATAGTCATGTTTAAAAGAAAATATTTATATACCAATTCCCATTAAACTTTTATTACTTTTCAATGCAAGACAAAGGATCCATGTAAAGTATCCATGCCTGAACACTATCTGTCTGGCACAAGATTGTAATTTAAACAAAAGAGCAATTAATTTAGAAATTCATAATGTATTGTACGGAGGATGGAGCAATAGAGAAAATTCTCTGGATATATTTTTGTACAGTGCAGGATATATTGTACAAATAGTAAATATAAACAATCATAGTTTTATGCTAACAGTGTACCTGTCCAAGTGTACTGCCAAAGTAGGGATTCTCATTATAGGCTCCTGAATTCTCACCAGCCGCTGTGCATAGGACTCTGACCCGTCTTTCCTTTCTCTTACTATTATCCTCCCAGCAACAAATAAATCACAATCAAACCACGTATGCCAGAGACCACCTCCATATGTTTGTACACCAACTTCTAGATAACCACCTTTACATACCCGAAGCAACCACAGTTATTATAAACATGTGTTTCAATTTCTCCCTAGAACACAAACCTAGATTACCTTTGTAGTCGACTTTAGTTTCAAGCAGGAGCTATCAGTATGAGCTCCAAGAATATAGAACCCATTTCCAGGAACAGATTACAGCAAAAATTCAATAATACCAGGCATTAAATGATAATAACCACACTACCGTATATCCCATTGCACTTGTGTCATCTATGGAACATATCAATACCACTTTATAACTTTTCAGCAGAAGTGACTCCAAATTCTTCAAAACATTTGATGGTGCATCCTGAACACACCATCAGAAAACTAGGAATGAAAGCTAGGAGCTAAATAGATAGATAAGAAATTTAGAACCTTGTAAGCAACAGCAAGAGAATTGGTTGCTTCTTGAATAGTTAGACGCAGAAACTGGCCCTCTGATTGTGGAGCATCAAAAAGCCAGACAGTTGTATCAATTTTATCTCTAGAAGTATAGAAACAGAAGTTACAAACTCATATTGAAGGTTGAGCAAACATTAGGAAGACAAAGATGGAATGAAATAAATAAAGAAAGAAATTAGAGTACCTAAAGAGTTGAGGCATTCGCTGTGCAAGCTAGCTACATAGGACAACCTAGATAATTCATTAACCTTATAACTTTTTACCCTCAAAGTACGTAGAAATCCCTATTTGTAGATCTTTAAGGAATGAGAACATACTGAATTCTAACATGATTCAGTTACTAATTTATCAACTAGTTTTAATTACGGATTCTAGACAGATTCACCATTAATTTTTATTTTTTTTAAACTAAAATGAAGAAATCATTGAGTCTAATAAGATTAGTCATACAAGTATTGTTGCATAAAGTACGAACTAAGATCTGTACTAAGATCTATATACATCACCCAATTTATATTTCACGAATGCTTTCAACCTTTATCAATCTTTTAAATTCAATCTATTTATATTTCACGTGCTTTTTTACCAATCTTTCAAATGCTTTCAACCTTTATTGCAGCCCTAAGAAACATTATCTATGGATATGCATAGAAACACAGAGCTGTGAGCATGTACCTCTGTCGACGACGGAGAGGGCAGCAGACGGCGGATGACTAGAGGAGGGCAACAGACGGCGGATGACTGGAGGAGTGCAGCAGACGGTGGAGGACTGGAGGAGGACAGATGGCTGAGAGGCGCGGAGTGAGCAGATGGCGGAGAGTGATGAATACATCGCTGGCAAATTATATTATGCACCGCGGTGCATAATCGATTATGCACCGCGCGTCTTTTTTTTTAAAATGAAAATTAACAGTGTTTATTTCCGCCGTTTCGCACCCTTTTGCAAAAAGTAACTCTGTTATTCAGTGTCATTTTGTATACACTGCAGTTTCAGTTGAACACAACTACAGTTTCATTTCAATATAACTATAGTTTCATTCGATATTTATAAACTCAAATATGTGAAAATGTTATTTAATTTTATTTTATATACACTATAGTTTTATTAAAACACAACTACATGATCATTTTGATATAATTGCAGCTTCATTGTACAATATACACTCAAATATGTGAAATGTTATTCAGTTTCAGTTTATATACACTGCAGTTTCATTTCACTATAACTACAGTATCATTTTGATATAACTGCAGTATCGGTTTGGATATACTGTAGTGTCAGTTGGTGTTTAATACACCAAACAAACGGACTCCGTTAACTCTAACGGCAGGCCGTTTCTTTACTTAAAGAAACGGCGTCGTTTTTTATCGCGGTGCATGTGCACCGCGGTCTATAATATAACGACTGTACATCGCTAGGGATTTAGAAATTTGTCTCTACTATTATCTATTATCTATTATCTATTATTATTAAAAGAAAATTATATTATTATTATTATTATTATTATTATTATTATTATTATTATTATTATTATTATTAAAAGAGTATATAAGATATAAGATAACATATAATATATGAGATTAGCGACGGATTCCCATTTGGTCGCTAAAATAAATAAACTTTAATCCGCTCGTGAATAATTTAGCGACGGATTTCATAATCCGTCGCTATCTAGCGAGGGATTATAATCCGTAGCTAAAATAAACAAACCTCAATGTAATCGTGAACAATATAGCGACGGATTTCATAATCCGTCGCTATATTTAGTGACGGATTCATAAATCCGTCACTAAATGCCACAATTAAAATTAATAGAACTTTCGAAGTCAACCCACGAAATATCCGTCGCTATATTTTGCGCCAAAGTTTGCCGCTAAATTTAGCTACATATTTAACGACGGAAACATTATGTCGCAATATCCGTTGCTATTCCGTCGCTAAATATCTATATAACACAAAAATTAAAATTCGTAGCTACGTTGTCGCTAATTTAGCAACGGAACAGTTCCGTCGCTAAATCCGTCATTATATAGGCGTTTTTTTGTAGTTACGGTTCTTGGAATATCTCCATGCGCGTAGCATTGGAGATGAAGAACAAATGGAGTGTGGTCGCCGGTAGCATCACAACACCGAACAGGACGAACTCACAATATGTCGCCTGGAGAAGGTGTAATCTAATGGTTTGTTCTTGGATCCACAAATCTGTTCATCCAACCATAGCTCAAAGCATAATGTATATGGATAAAGCTAGGGATGTCTGGAAAGATTTAAGTAGGAGTTTCTCCCAACAAGATCCACATCGGATCTCAATTCTACAGTCTGAAATATATTCATTGAAACAGGAAAATATGACGGTGAATGACAATTATACAAAATGCAGAGCTCTATGGTAGCATATGAATGAACTGCGACCTCTACCTATTTGCAAATGTAATCCACTGTGCTCTTGTGATTTAGTGGATCAAATCAGAAACGAACGATAAGTAGATCAAATTATCATATTTTTGCAAGGCCTAAACGAAGACTATAACTCCCTCAAGTCAGGTGTTCTCGTTTTCAATCCGCTGCCGGAAATGCACAAGGTTTTCGTCATGGCTGAAAATTTTGAAAGGCAATTGAATGTTGTGAATCTGAACTTAAGTGGCCTTGAACTTGGTCACGCCAACTCCATTGAAGCCAATCAAGCTGATCAGACCTATATGGGAGATGTTGTTGCAGCCGTTAATCAATTCAGCAACCGGAGGAACATGAACGCATCTGGTGGAAACAAGGCACCTAACTGCACCTTTGGCGGCATGACCGGACATACAGTGGAGAAATGTTACAAATAGCATGGATATCCACTAGGGTGGATTCCATGCTATAAATCAAAAGGCAAACAGTAGATTACAACAGCTACTACAAGCACTGATAGCAACGACGCAACGTGACTTCTGATCAGCTTCAAAATTTGATTTCCCTTCTTCAACTCCAGATGGGGCAGACTGGAACCTCAACCACATCTGCAGTTCCTCTTATTCCAAAATTCAACAAAATTGAGTCACAATGTAAAGGCAAGTGCACTATCTCTCCTCTAATTAATACTATTGCCTTATCTTCATCCAATTGGATTCTGGATTCTGGTGCTTCTGACCATATAATCTGCTCCATTGAACTATTTGATGATTATTATACCGTTGAAGGGATAACTGTTAGTTTGCCTGATGGAAAACATGTTACAGTGGAACAGGTGGGAAATGTGAAATTGGATGATGACTTGTGGTTAAGAAATGCTCTACACATACCTTCCTTTAAGTTCAACATTGTTTCTGTTAGTAAATTGCTCCAAAACTCACCATGCACATTAACGTTATCTTCTCGTCGGTGTCTTCTCCAGGGGATCCATGGGAAGACAGTTGGTTTTGCTAGAGAAGAGAATGGGCTATATCTGCTACTCCAACCACCAGGAAGTCATTTTAATACATGTAAACATGTTGCCATGAATTGTAGTGTTATGGTTTGGCACCAAAGGTTAGGACATTTCCCTATGAATAAAATTCATCACTTGAGTGATATAAATGTTTCTCACACAAAGAGTTTAGCCTGTGATGCTTGTCACTTTGCCAAACATAAACGTTCCCCCTTCCCGTTGAGCAGCACCATGGCAAATATATGCTTTGAGTTGATACACATTTACATTTGGGGACCATTTCTAGTTCAATCATTATGAAGGGAGCGCTATTTCTTAACCATAGTGGAAGACCAATTGAGATGCACATGGATCCACTTAATGAGAAACAAATTTGAGATTCAAGGCCTAATTAGAAACTATCAAAAATTTGTGCAAACTCAGTTTGGGCTGCCTATCAAAGTTATCGAAGTGATAATGGCATGGAATTTAATATGTTGAGTTTCTTTGCCGAGAATGGGATTGTTCACCAGAGGTCTTGCGTGAATACACCATAACAGAATGCTGTGGTTGAACGCAAGCACCAACATATCTTGAATGTAGCAAGAGCTCTCAGATTTCAGGCTGGTCTCCCTCTTGAGTTTTGGGGGCACTGTGTCCTTCATGCAGCTTTCATTATAAATCACCTGTCGTCACCAATCCTTGAATGGCTAAGTCCCTATCGCAAGTTATATGGAAAGAATCCTAATCTCGGTAACCTCAGGGTGTTTGGTTGTTTATGTTATACATCAACTCTACCACATCCACGTCACAAAATGGCGGCACGCAGTAGGAAGTGTATGTTCATAGGAATACCTTCCAACATAAAAGGATATTTGTTGTATGATCTTCATGATAAAGCCACATTTATCTCACGGGATGTAGTATTCTCTGAGAAGCAGTTCCCTCTGGCCAACCTTGATCATCACAAGATGGAACAACAATCATCAGCCCCTTCTTTGCCTATCATTCCGCTCTCCAACTGTGAAGAATTTGATTTTCAGGAGCATAATAACAATTCACAGCAAGTTGGCAGTGAGCAACGCCATACTGGCAGTCCTCCCTTGCTACCACACTTAGAAAATAATGAGGCATGCAATGGTGGTTAAGGCAGATTGAACACTCATGAGACATATAGTGATGGTAGCAATGATGGTGAAGGCAACTCAGATACTCATCACACTGCCATTCCTAATCAACCCCGGAGATCTAATAGGCAACGTCAAGCACCAAGCAAACTGCAAGACTACTACTGCGATGTTGCCATAAAGAACAGAACATCCCCACATATATTGTCAAAGGTAATATCTTATGATAGTTTAATGCCTTCACACAGACATTTCTCCATGGCAGTGAGCCAGTAACTAACATAAATGAACCCAAGACATATGAGCAAGCCATCCAACATGAGTGCTGGAAAGAGGCTATGGGTGAAGAAATCACTGCTCTACAGAACAATAGAACGTGGGAGTTAACTGATTTGCCTCCAGGAAAAGTTCCTATAAGTTGCAAATGGATTTATAAAGTCAAGCTTAAAGCCGATGGCACCATTGAAAGGTATAAGGCGAAACTGGTTGCGAAAGGGTATACCCAACA